TTGCACGCTTCCATCTTCCATCTTGAACACACAACAACTTCCATTGTTTTACAAGCCCTCAGATACAATTGCTTCTGCTCAGATCCACAAGATACAGACTCCAAACTCAAGGATTTACAAAATGCATTCCTCAAACTACAGTACCTACCCATTATGATTAAGAAACAAATTAATAAAGCAAGACAGAAGCAACCTACTACAGGATAGACCCGGAAGGGAAAATAATTGAACACCAGCAGTTATCACTTTCAGTCCACAACTGAGACCACTCTCACACATCACAAGTGATCTCCAACCCTTCCTCGACAAGAACACTTCACTCTCCCAAGCCCTTTGTGGTAGACCTATACTGGCTTATAGTCAACTCTCCAACCTCAAAAAACTACTGACACACAATGGACTACTCAACAATGATACAGAGATGGGAAAGAAAACCTGCTACAAACCCAGATACCAGCTCTCTCCCCCCTCCCATTTATTGAGGCAACACCATTACTGGACATAACAATGCCAGTATCAAAGGCACTTTTATCTGTTCCTCTACCAATGTTATTCATACCATTTTTTTGACAACAGTGCACGTCTACATGCTACATAGGACAAATAGGAACAAATCAATAAATCAGACATCAGGAATGGCAACACACAGAAACTCATTTCACATCATTTTAATTTACCAGGACATTTCACAGATGATTTGAAAGTGCCCATCCTAGAAAAAAGAAACTACAGGTCAAGAATCCAAAGAGAAATAGTGGAGACAATATATACAGTGGTGCCCAACAAGACGATGTTAATCCGTTACATTGAAATTGGTGTCTTGTGAAAACATCGTCTTGCGAAAAGTGTTTTCCCATTGGAATGCACTGAAATCCGTTTAATGCGTTCCAATGGGAAAATAACTGTCGTTTTGAAAAAATCGTCCATAGGGAAGCCATTTTGTGAAGCGCCAATCAGCTGTTATAATCGCTGTCTTGCGAAGCATCGGTCCTGAAAACACCCATTTTGTGAGTCGCGGACCTATCTGTGAAAATCATCATCTTGCGAAGCATCGGTCCCAGGAGAAAAAAACGTCTTGCAAAGCATGGACCGAAACATCGTCCAGCGGAAATCGCCCATAGGAAAGACTGTTTTGGGAGATCATTGTCTAGCGGGGCACCACTGTATATGAATGCTAGACACATATCAATTGAATTAACATAAGCCAAGGCTTTTGGGGCACACTACCAGATATAACACTACAAATATTGCACTATACTGCATCCTTAACATAAGCCAAGGCTTTTGGAGCACACTACCAGATATAAACACTACAAATATTGCACTATACTGCATCTCCCAGATATTTTCTGCCCTTAGCAGATCCATCCTAGAAATATCTAAGGTAATACAGATTATTTGCCATTGTCTGGGATAATTTATACAGCATTGCAATTGATTACAAAGAAAAGCTTGCATGGAGAAGTTCATCAACCATTGTAAACAGCCCATATAATCAAGGTTCATGTTGCTCTACCATTGTTATTTTGGCATTGTTAATTTACATTCTTTACAGCACAAGCTTCTATGAATGACCTCCATATCAAAAACATTATCATCACAATGTTTAAGACACACTGATTTTCTTAGCAGCCAACCAACCAACCAACCACAAGCTCTAACTTTTAATCCTTATATTATGATGCCATGTACAAATCTGCCATGTTAAATCTCTTTCTCTTATGTCTGATTAAGTGGACTTGTCCAAGAAAACTCACCTTAAAAAAAGAAAACTTAGTCCTTATGAGAACACCCCGTTTTTTGGTGCTTTTTAAAACTTATTTTTGGTCTTGGTTTCACCTAAAATATAGCAATTAGTCTTTAAGGTCCCACATCTTTTTTTTTTTGTTTGTTTGTTTTGTTTTGCATTTCTTGTTGAAATAACAAAAGGAGATAGTTAACTAGCAGAAACTCACTTTGTGCCAGGGTGGAGCTTTTTCCTCCAATACTAGTACTGTACTGAATTCTGAAATGTATAAGATATTAACAAGGAAGAATAACCTCCCTGTATGTGCACTGCCTCTCTTTCTTAACTCTGAATAACTATTTCTGCTTGTCCTCACAAGCTTACACTTAGCAGTAAACAGGCCCAGCTTCCACACCTGGGATCCTTTGGCAGCTGTTGCCATATTAGCAAGCTGGCATGGCTTGCTGCTAACATCTGTCCTAACCATCCCTTAGACTAGAGTGTGTGTGACTGCTTGGAAGGCCTGGTATTACAAACCCTGGCAGAGACAGTTCAATTTCAATTTTAATAATCCTCTAATCATTTTTAATTTCAGTGGCCTGAATTCATTCTGAGTGCTATCAAAAATAGATCTATTGAATCAACTGGATTTGCATAAACGTTGACTTACTACTCAGCAGTTGATTCAGTGGGTCTGCTCAATTTGGAAACAGCTATTAGACTTACTGGGAAAGTGTGACGGCAAGAGGAGAAGGCTTAATGCCGTCATCGAAGCAACCAAGATGAATTTGACTCTGAGTGCTATCAAAAATACAGTAGATCTATTGAATCAATTGGATTTGCATAAATGTTGACTTACTACTCAGCAGTTGATTCAGCGGGTCTGCTCAATTTGGAACCAGCTATTAGACTTAGAGCTGTTATTTAATTTTTTTTTTTTTAGTTTTAACAGTCCCTGCTCCTTTTTGTAAACAATTGAAGGAATTCTGAAGAAAGCATTTTAATCATTTATGCCATTGTTTCAGCCATCTTGAATCTTTATTAAGAAAAAACAATGAAGAAGTTGGATACCTGCAGTGCCAAAGGTTCCCCCATGCTTGCTGGAAAAAGAGATCATCTATGTGCCCTTGGGCAAGATGCACAGTCCCAGAGCATCCCTAGAAGAAGGAAATGGTTCTCCACTTCTAAGAACACCTAGAGAACCCTGGAAAGGATTGCCACAAGTTGGAGAAGACTTGATGGCACACACTTATTATTTAAGTCATTGCCTAAACTAAGGCTTTTGCACTTTGGGCATATAAAGACACGAATAACTGGAAAAGACAATAATGTAGGGAACAGTGGAAGATAGTAAGAAAAGAAGGCCTAAAATGAATGGGTTGACTCAATAAAGGAAGCCATATCCTTTACTTTGCAAGGTCATGGTGACGCAGGGGGGGGCACACTTCACCCCTATTCATAGTAAAAAATTGGCCTGGGGGGACTTTGGGGGAGTGAACCATATAGGTATGTGCTCCAAGGGGCATTTGGTCTGTATGATTTTTTTTAGAATGTGTACCTTGGAGTATTTTAAAATCTATTTTTGAATGTTTTTTGTTGTAAATATCCATGGGAGTCCCCGTGGGCAGAAAGGCAGGAGCGACTCAATGTTTTAAAATACATGTATACAGACAGTGGCACAGGTTGGGGGAATCTGCTGCTGACAAAAAGACTTTGTTCAGAGGAAAACAATGTCCCAAACTCCAGAACCTACAGGCTGTACGAGGTAGGTGCCTTCCGTATCCTGCAACGAGGGGTGGATCCCACCTGGTGGTCCCGCTCCCTACCTTCACCTCCCTGGCACAAGGTGTGAAAGGGGCCCCAAGACCTTCTGCCATAAGCCCCTCCATGATCTCCTCCTCCCTTTCTGTACTCTTCAACGGGCTGGACAGAGGGGTCCGCCGGCTCTCGTCGATCGTCGCCCGTCCTCGAAGACCAAAAAGGGCACCAGGGCGGATCCACGCGCGCCCCGCCGACCGCAGCGCGGCCACCCCTCCTGCGCGCCCGAGGGACTTTCCACCCAGGTCGGCGGAAGGCGAAGAGCACCCCCCCCGCGCGCGCATAACTTGCAGACGCAGCCAATGCGACGGCGACACAAGATCGTCCGCGTAATTAAAAGAGCAAATAAGTTTAGGATGCCGGGATCAGGCTTCCTCACATCCCCCCCCCAGCCCCAGCGGGACTCGCGTCCCCTCCCACTTTGAACACTGGCTTGCTTCCTAGGAAACGCATCCTGGAGTTAACGTGTGCACCCAAAACATAACGCGTAACTAACGCCAGGCTTTGCCAGCCTCAGGAGCATGTCTCTGCGCGCTGGCGCAGGTCACGCCGCCGTCCCCGCCCCCGTTTCCTCCGGGCAAGCAAGGGTTACGCGTGCGAGGCGTCTCTGGGCTGCCCCAAGGGGTTGGCCGCGGTTGCTGCCGCCGCCGCCGCCGCCGCCGCCGCCTCCTCCTCCTCCTCCTCCTCCAGCTCCTGATCGCGACTGAAAGCAGCCAGAGCGGAGAAGCGCCGCCGAAGCCACCTCGGGCTTGTCTTCTGTTCCGCGGCACACGAGGCGAGCCAGGCGCTGCGGAGGGCGAAGGTGTCGCGTTGCAGGTAACCGAGCATCCTCCGACGGCCACCGCCCCCCCTTCCAGCCCCGCGACTGAAGGAGGAGCCCGTGGAGTGGGCGAGAGGAGGCGGGTGGGGGTTGGAGCTCTTGGGGGGGGGGATGCCGGGATCAGGCTTCCTCACATCCCCCCCCCAGCCCCAGCGGGACTCGCGTCCCCTCCCACTTTGAACACTGGCTTGCTTCCTAGGAAACGCACCCTGGAGTTAACGTGTGTACCCAAAACATAACGCGTAACTAACGCGGCTCCTCACAAAATACCGGCGCAGTCTGGTTTGTTTTTTTTTTTAAAGAGGAAGCGTGTGTGTGTGTGTGAAGGTTCTGGTTTGCGGGGTGTGTGTGTGTCTTACGATGGGCACTATTTAAAACCCACGAGGAAGCAGACGTCCGTCCAGGCTTTGCCAGCCTCAGGGGCATGTCTCTCTGCGCGCTGGCGTAGGTGACGCCGCCGTCCCCGCCCCCGTTTCCTCCGGGCAAGCAAGGGTTACGCGTGCGAGGCGTCTCTGGGCTGCCCCAAGGGGTTGGCCGCAGTTGCTGCCGCCGCCGCCGCTGCCGCCTCCTCCTCCTCCTCCTCCTCCTCCTCCAGCTCGCGATCGCGACTGAAAGCAGCCAGAGCGGAGAAGCGCCGCCGAAGCCACCTCGGGCTTGTCTTCTGTTCCGCGGCACACGAGGCGAGCCAGGCGCTGCGGAGGGCGAAGGTGTCGCGTTGCAGGTAACCGAGCATCCTCCGACGGCCACCGCCCCCCCTTCCAGCCCCG